TAACAAAGTAGGGTTGCTGACTCAGCATCCATACAATAAAGACCAGGATAACATAGTATGGATGCTGAGTCAGCATCCATACAATCATAAATATCAGGATAACATAGTATGGATGTGTCGTGGCTAGAGGGGGATGCCGACTAAATTAATTCAGACAAACCATCCCAATTTAAAGGATCATTTAATATTACAATTATTCTTAATAGAGTAGTATTTAAACAGATAATCTTGTAGTTAGGGAAACAGAGAACAGAGACTCTCCTCCTACAAATGTGATAGATAAAGCATTAAATAAGAAGATTGTCAAAAGCGTCAGTCAGTCTTGGTTGTTGTTGGTCACGAGTCAGTCTTTGTCAACCACAGTCAGTTGTCAGTTTTATTTCAGCGTTCCCCCAGCCGGCTGGGTCAGCGTCCCCACAAAGTATACCCTCCCTGTCACAGTAGCATTGTCATTCTCTCTTCTTTTCTTCTGCTCTAACCCAGCTTTTTATCTGCTCGTACTCACGCAGCCCTCCATGGCCATGAAGACGCGGTCCCATGCCAGCTACCCACACACACCTTCTTCCGAGCATTGTCTAAGCTGTCCAGTACATGAACTTCTAGGTCGCATTGACCTGGCGCACATTTCCTTTTTCTAAACCTGAACAGAGCACACGAACAGTTCACATAAGGCTGCAGCTACAGTATATCCATTCCCTATCTGAGGAGGAAGTCACTCAGGATGTTGACCCATAGGTTAAACAAAGGGGACACAGCCCAAGATATTCTTGCCTGCGCCAGAAACAGATCAAGCTTCCATACACACTTAGCTCAGCCTTACATCCTTACACAACTAGTACAAATAATATCTAAATATGACATGCATACTGTTAGCTCTGAAACCTTGTTTATTTTTAGCCACTACAGATGCTGAATCAGCATCCATACAATAAGAATAATAAAGAACAGGATAACATAGTATGTTTGCTGACTCAGCATCCATACAATAATAAAAACCAGGATAACAAAGTCACCCATACTATAATAATAAAGACCAGGATAACATAGTATGGATGCTGACTCTGCATCCATACAATAATAACTAGAAGAAAGTGCATATTTCCCCATTTATTTGAATGGGGCAAGATTTTCATAATAACGCTAAATATTTTAAAAGTATGAAGTTTAGAAACATTCTGAATGGAAGAATGAATAAAGAGCTGAACATTTTGATAGCTGAAAGAGCTGAAAGTATGCTGAATTAGAATTTTCCCATTCATTCGAATGGGGCAAGATTTTCAAAATGAAGTTAAATATTTCAAAATTATGAAGTTTACAAAAGTTCTGAATAGCAGCATGAATGTCCTTGAAGAGCTCAACATTTTGATAGCTGAAATAGCTGAAATTATGCTTAAGTAGAATTTCCCCATTCATTTGAATGGGCAAAATTTTGCTGAAAAACACTAAATAGTTTAAAAAGTATAAAGGTTAATAAAAAGAAAAATAATAGCATAAATGTCCTTGAAGAGCTGAACATTTTGATACCTGCGCGGTTTTCATAGCTGAAAGTATGCTGAAAAAATTAAGTGCCAAAAAACGGACGGAAGAAACCAGAATAATAATCATAAAGACCAGGATAACATAGTGTGGATGCTGACTCGGCATCCATACAATAAAGACCAGGATAACATAGTATGGATGCTGACTCAGCATCCATACAAATAGCAAATGTTTGGGTGTTTGTTTTACAGTAAGTCAGAGTAACTAACTCACACCCCCAATCATTTCTTTTTTCAATGGAAAGATGAAGATCATTAGGCATTCCATAATTTTTCCCTTGTCAAGTCACATACTCACCCCAGTCTGACAGGTGTAATCCAGTTAAACTGTCAACATTTAGTCGTGTTAGTACTCAGACACTGAAGGATATAGTCCTGAAACTAAACTCACCTACTTGTTGCCTGGACATTCCACCAACATGCTGTGTAAAGGGATCCCTTCCTATCAGGTATCTTTCCTAGCTCTTTGAAAACACCTACTGTTAAGCCCTTAAAAAATGTAGCTTGGATCTCTCAAATCTAAGCTACAGGCCCATTTCAAACCTACCATTTATCATAAAAACTGTCTCCCTTTCCATGCAAGTGGATTTGTCATTTTTACCAATTAGTAAAACTAGGTTTCATTGAATTCCATGTTAGACTATCAAAATCAATTTGCAGGTTTAAAATAGAAGGATTAATAAATTGAAGTGAAGGTCTGATGACAGCGTTTCATTCAGCTGCATTGCAGTTATTTGTGGCGACTCGACAGGAAATGTGAATAATTATCATGAGTCATATTACATGAGTAGAAAATAGAGCAATGTGCAGCAAAAACTATGTGAAACTCAGATGTGTACTGTCATTGGACAGTCAGGCTTTGATCTTAGTGAGTTTGTACATGCAGGCCCAAATCTAAAAAGTCCTGCATGTTTACTCTGTGCTTTTTCTGTGTGTGATTCCCAGGGGAGAAGTATGAACTCCACACTGCCACACCCACCACCCCCAGTGTAGTCATCCATGTCTGCGAGGATGAGCGCAGTGACAGCTTCGCCCCCGACAACAGCGATCATGACGACAAGCCCCACTCCCCGCGGCCGAAAATCATTCAGACGCGACGTCCTGACTACACCCCAGGGGTCAAGCAGTGAGCGACAACAAGCTGCAACATCTTACCCTGAAGAGAATGGTCAAGAGCTGAGTAGCTCGCATACCTTTGAATGTCTGGGGACTTTGGAAAGGTGCCTGCCATGTCCTGTACACAAGGGTTTCATAGACAGAGGAAGAAAACATTGTCAAATACTGCATTCATGTCCCATGGGAAAAATGGGAGATGTGTTTAAGATACCAAGAGACTCTGGAGATTTGGTTTGCAGTGATATTTTGTACGACTAACTTGATGATTTGTGAGAGAAAGTCTGTTTAAGGTGATCCGAGTAATTAGATGTTTTTCCCCGCCGGCATGAATGCAGCATCATTCTGACGAGCCATGTTTGTGTTTTCCTCATGTAGAGTTTGGAATTTAACGGACAGTCTGAAAAGGGAAACAAAACATGTAATGGATTTATTTTAAACATGGGTTTCTGACTGTTGGGTTTTTCTAGGGTGCTATATATTTATGTTAGTCAGCTGTGGATGTTGAAGAGCTACTACTCAACTGCTGGCATGTGCTTTTTCTGATCCCATTTGTGTGGTCATTACTGTAATGTTTGTCTCATCTTCTGTTGTCTCAGAAAGCACCTTATAGACATTTTATAGACAGGCTTTGGTATGTATGGCTTACATTAAAAATTATGTGAAGGAAATCCTGTTTATTTATGTAAAGTTAATTAACCTCTTCACTAGCTTCCTTGGTTAACCTAACTTAGCTAATTCAGTACGTTCGTTACGTTAGCATTTTCTTGTGAAACAGGTCACATTCTGCTATCTGTGTTGTTACCATTCACAAGAATTACTCAAAGTTGGAGCCTATTTCAAGTATTATTTTTGGAGGCTAACCTTATCGATAGCTGTAACAACCGTCCTGAATTGGCAGTACAGAGAAATGTCCAATCAGGTGTTTGATTAGCTTGGTGACACAAAGGTTCGTCCAAACACTGACTGTTGATTGACAGGTCATTCCTGTTGCCAGCTTACGTTTCATTTTGAGATCAAGTTACCTTTCTGTTATTTTTCAGTGCATATAACTCACTGATGTCTCCTTTTTACAGTGGGTCATCTTAGGCTCTGCAAAAACATTTAGAACTGCACCTAAGCCTTTCTGTGATAGGGAAAGCCCCACTTGGAGGTTAAAAAAATACAGGGCTATCTTTAGCTCATAGTCTGGCTAAACAGTGTTCTCAAAAATGTTTTGTGGGAAAATACAATGGTAGCACTGTTACTTAACTTATGACTCAGGGCCACTTCTAGTGGGTCCCCATTCAGTAAAAGTGCTTGTATGTTTTAAGGAGATTTGTGTGTTATCTGTCATTAATGTCTTGCTGTATACATACAAAGGTTTTTAGCATGTGTAATGATTGTACATAGGAAAATATGCACCACAAGCATGTGTATGTGTGGCTGACTGTTAGGTTTGTTCAGAGAGGTGTTAACCGTTTCCCATTAGCAGTGGAGCTGCCAGCCTGCTGCACACACTGTTGAACTGTTCTCTTCAGTGTTACTTCACAGGTAGGTCTGTGCTGTGCAAGCATGTCACACAGTAGATCCTAAAAATGCTCATCACCAGTATAATGCAGTGTTGTTAGACAACTTTTTTTTTTTATATATGTAGGTGGAAACACACCTCAGAAGGTTATAGGAATCCCCAGTGTTAACATTTTTGTCCATTATTAAATGTATTCTGCAAATTGCCTTTAGCTTTTCTACTATATTCTCACCATCTGTTGCTTAATGACATTCAAGCTAGGTCTTAATAGTCTGAGAGTCACCTCAACAAAATATTGGGTATAAAAATGGAAAGACCTGCCTCCTCACATTCACAAAACAGTTTGTCAAATTTCTCTGTGTCCTATGAATTTGGAGCTGAACAAAACTTAAAACTGGTTGACTGGATTGCCAACTGCCCTGGGTTTTCCTAGATACACGGGGCCAAAGGCTCCAGGTTCACTGTTTGCTAATTGATTTGTGGTAATTTAATAAACTGGAAATGTGCTTATTACTGTGAGCAGCACTGACGCTCTTTATAAACTGCAATATTACATAATGTTTAGGATCTGAACTGTAGAGGGGACCTGAAATGTATTTTTTAGGCCTTTATTTTTTTCAGTTGGTATCATGCTTTCTTGGTGTGTTTTGCTAAATATTAAACATGTACTTCATATATACACAACACACAAACCAGAGTAACAGAGGTTTCATTATGGGATTGGGTTTGGCAAACTTTCCCAGTCCAAATAAATCCATATCTCATCACAAATCATACTAGTCTTTAATCACTTGTAGAGCTATTACAATATTTAAAAAAACCTCTGATATTTCCTGCTAGTGTCTGTAACCAGTATAAGATGACTAGCCCCAGAGTTGAAGATACAGCTTCCTCAAGCCAAGAAAACAGCATAAACAGAGAATATAATAATGCTGGTTTTAATTAAGTGGGAAAGACATTTCTGTATTATCAGTGGCTACAGGCATCTGTTTTAGTTGTGAAGGTTTACAAAAGTTTGTCCAGTTTTTATTTTCCATCATCTTCATTCAGGGTGATGGGACAATATAAGCAGTACTCTGAAGCATGCTCTGCCAACTTAGCTACTTTTGTACTTCTGGTATTTTAAGCTCATTTATGCAAACAAAAGTACCATATTAGAAATAACATTTTTGACCAACCGTTCAAGTTCATCTGTTTCTGCAATTTGTTCTTTTAATTCTTTTTTTGGCTGTTCCCGTTAAGGGTCGCCACAGCAAATCATCTGTTTCTACCTAACTCTATCCTCGGCATCCTCTACTCTCACCCCAGTTAACTTCATGTTCTCTTTTAGCACATCCATATATCTCCTCTTTGGCCTTCCCCTTGACCTCTTGCCTGGCAGCTCCATCTCCAACATCCTTCTACCAATATAACCACTATCCCTCCTCTGCACATGTCCAAACAATCGCAGTCTGGCCTCTCTGACCTTGTCCCCAAAACAGCCAACCTGAACTGTCCCTCTGATGTGCTCATTCCTAATCCTGTCCATCCTGGTCACTCCTAAAGAGAACCTCAACATCCTCATCTCTGCTACTTCCATCTCTGCCTCTTGTCTTTTCCTCACTGCTACAGTCTTAGGGGTGTACTCACTTTTGTTGCCAGCAGTTTAGACATTAATGGCTGTGTGTTGCGTTATTTTGAGGGGACAGCACATTTACACTGTTATACAAGCTGTAGACTCACTACTTTACATTGTAGCCAAGTGTCATTTCTTCAGTGTTGTCACATGAAAAGATATACTTAAATATTTACAAAATGTGAGGGGGTGTACTCACTTCTGTGATATACTGTATGTCTGCATTATGCCAGTTAAAATATGGGCTTTCTCAATTATCCACTTTGTTTAGAGTGTTACACATCTCTTTTAATAGGTACATATACCATTTTTTACCTATCTATGGGGAGAAATTCAAATTAATTAATGCAGTCACGGTTTGCTTTGCTGTCCACTTGCGACATAACACCGGCAGCAGGACGTGTGCACGTTCACAGACTATCCTCTCGTTTTTAGAAAGAGGCTTTTTGGTTTTATTATTCTTAAAAAAAAAAAAAATTATAGATTATTTGGCATTATAAGGAGGGCCAAGAAAATCTAGAGGTTCCAAGATTAAATGACGGGAAACAAGAATGCCATGTG